CCCTATTAGTGTTGCACGGTGTACCGATACTTGAAAGGTACCGCGATACCCTGCCGTTAAAAATGTTACGATTCCTCCGTTTCATTAGTATCGGTACTTTAAGAATGACGGGGAAAAGTACTCGGTGAGAAAGCGCCGTTTTAATAAGAGCTGTGTGGGTTCAGCGCTCTGCTTCCACTCCCTGCACTGCAGCCGTGCCTGCAGTCCCTCCCCTCTCAAGCACGCTCTAAGGTCCTCCCCTCTCTCGTGCACGCGCTAGCTGCCAGAGCATGTGAGAAAACGTGAAGCATGGCTGCAAGTGGGAGTGCAACTGCCGCTGCGCCTCGGCTTGTTGACAAAAAAGACGCCAGAAGCGGAAAAACAAAAAAGTTGTTTATAGATGATGCTTAATTGTATTTAATACAAATTCTAGTCATTTATTTAATGTATTGTTCTCATTGTTTAAAAGTTTATGTTATGGTTATGGTTCTGGTGTGAAATAAAGCACAATAATTACATTTAAGACTGTTTCCCTTTTTTTAAGAAAAGTATCGAAAAAGAATCGGAATCGCAATTCTTGACTTGGTATCGGTATCGAAACCAAAATGTTGGTATCGTGAGAACACTAGACCCTATTATGCTTTTTGCAGGAAGTCTAGGGAAAATTATATATTTCTTACTTAGATTGTATATCAGGCTCAAATAAAAACCTATGGAACATCGTTTAATAACAGTGGTTACAAGTTCTTTCTCTGAAATATTAGAACATGAATGTGTTTTATTTTGTGTCCTATATATTTTTTAGTTCCTTTCAGTCCCTATACATCTGAATATTTTATTTCAGGGGGAATTTGGTTTTGTAACATAAGGTGTTTGAGTAAAAATGTCCTATTTTTAAGATCAAATCAAATAGTTTTTAACATATTACAGTAAGTAGTAAAAATATATTTATAGAAACATAAGCAGTTAAATTAAAATGTCCAATTAAAGATAAAATAAAATACATTTAAAATATGAATATAAACATAAGAAGTTACGTTTAAAAAATGCACACTGTGCTACAAAAAATAACATATATATATCACAATAATGTACTTTCTTTTTTTGATCTGTTCTGAACTGATCTACAGGAGTAAACGCAGCCTTGATCAATAACCTGTATTTTTCCAGACTGATCAAGCTGTGGTTTCCATGAAGTCAAAGTATAAACGTTTCCCCTCCGCCGCTGCAGGTTATCCTGGAGAGCAAGTCAGGCAGTGCAGAGCTGGAGCTCTTCCCTCGGTACCTCCTCTTCCTCCGCCAGCAGCCGGCCACGCGCTCCCCCCAGTCCAACATCTGGGTCAACATGGGTATGAGCAGCCTGCGAATGTTCCCACCGTATTTACCCCCACCAAGAGGTAACGTAAGCCTGCAGCAAGACCAGAGCAAGCCGTCGACAAATGCTTAATTGAGCCGCCCCGCATCCCCCTCCCCTCCCCCTTTTAATCCTCCCACAGTGGACTGATCCAGCCCGGGCAGTTCTCTGGAGTGGGCAGTGGAATGAACCAATGGCCCATGAAGGGGAAAGAATGCTGATCACTCTAAAAGTTGCATAATTCAAACGTTTTTCATCTTCACAGACCTTGCAATTCAATTGTTAGTTTTGATAACACTTGTTCAAGTGCTCTACACTCTTAATCATAAGAAAACAACAAATCATAGCAACTTCAAGTTATTAAAAGGAATATATTTGAAACACTTTAGGCCTTGAAAATAATGTCAGGCATATCTGTACCCTCATATTTACATTTGGGCTTTGGAAGGTCAATTATTAACAATTTTGAACACCTGAAAAATTATCAAAGACATACATTTTCTCTTTAGCTGATTGCTTCACAAAATGTTCAGGAGTAATTTATCATATCAATAATTCAAACTTAGAAACTTTATATTTCTGAACTGGTATCTCCTGTTTTTTTAAGAAGTAGCTCGTAAAAAAATAAAGTGTGTCGGATTAAGTACTTTGTTTGTGTTTGCCAATTACAAAGAAACATCATCTTACATTTTAATTGTTAAAAAAAACATTTTGGAAGATTTCTAAAACAGCAATGCTTGTAGTAGGGCTGCACAATCAAAGTGTAATTGCAATATTAAAAACGCTTGTTTAAGGCTGAATATGTGTTAATATTGCACTCCCTTGTTTACTTTTGTTACTTAGTAACATCACTATGTAACACTAGCGCTTGTATTTGCTAGCGATCCAACACATTATGTATGATAGGCTTAGGGGCGGGACTTCTCTTAACCAAATACAACAGAGCCGACCAGCCTAACCAATCAGAAATGTATTCTCTCCAATATTGTGAATCATATCGCAATTGCAACATCAGTCAAAAATAATTGCAAATAGGTTGTTTTTTGTGTGCAGCCCTAGTGTGTGCTTGATTATGCAGCCATTAAATCAGCAACATCATTGAGATTTGACACGTTGATGATTGTATAGGATTGAGCTTTTTTCCTTTGGTAGCCTACATGTACCGGTAGTTGTTTCATATCAAGTTATCTTAATGCAGTCTTTGTCACTATTATCTTCATAATGTAAACTCACGCACGATCAAGCTTGATTTAACTCCAGTTTTTATCCCTTTGCATGATGTATATGAGGATATGATGGATAAACTGAAAAGGCCTCATTGCTAAAAGAAGCCGATGACAAAGCATGAAATGAAGAAGTGGCTCCTGGGTAATCAGGCATCAGCACTCAGCATGCGAGCGCTTTTTCAAATCAAGTCATCTTATCAGGTTTCAGTCCCAAGTGAAGCTTCGGGTTCCATCATGACTCATAATGTGTCTTGAGCAGCTGCTTGTCATTGCCTGCCATTAAAGCCCTCTCTCAGGGATGTGGCTAAATATCTCAAATTGATCCAATTATGCGTCAAATACAACACAATGTCTTCCTGACAACAGTAGAGCATTCAAACAAGTGTAGAGGATGGTTCATTGAAAAGCAAATCTGTGAAGGTTGAAAGCATAACACTATAAAATCACTAGTTTATTAATCATTTTCAAGTCAATATCAGTTAGGTGAATATTAATTGAAAGAAACAGGACTGATATTGATTGGTTTGTCTTTGATTTGATCCAATCTGAGTCCACTAAATCCACTAAGATGATTGACCAATCAAGTCTGCGCTGATTGATTATAAAATTTAAAAAAGCCCTTTCTTGCTGCTTCCTTACAACTAATCCTCAGTCACCACAATGCTGTTGTTGGAATTGATCACTTGTTTGCATCTGTAAGCTTGTGCATTGACAATGTTAGTTGACTTTTTAATCACACAAGGATTTTAAAGTCACTGTTGAAGCTAAGAAATAATTATATTAACACACCGATTTGCTCTGATGATGTTTTTGTGAATTTTCCTGTCGTTTTTGTGCGCCTTAGCAGGAAGCGTGCCCTCGCCCAACGCTCCTCTGAAGAGGATGCTGGCCTACACCGGCTGCTTCAGCCGCATGGGCACTATCAAAGACATCCACCTGTACTTGTCCCAGAGACTGCGCATCAAGGAGGAGGACATGAGGCTCTGGCTCTACAACAGTGAGGTGGGCCAACAAGCTTTCACAGTTACTTTCATACATATGGCAATATCAGATATTGGTCAGCCAGTATATTACAAATCATACTATATTTTTATAGCACTTTTTATGCTATATTGTGCTTAAAAGACCATTAAGAGCGTTAAAAACCAATACAAATATTTTAAATAAATTCTGATCATAAGGATGAAGGTAGTTAATAATGTTGGCTGGATGTTCACTATAACACTTAAAAAAACGTATAACTAAATCAAAATGTTGTCAAATGACCACACAAGCAAACAAGGGGACAAAAAAATAAACTCAACTCACTCAAAGTGTGGAAGGAGCAATGGGATATTAGGAGCCCAGCAGCTTTCATGAGACCAAATGTAATGGTACATTTAAAATGCAGTGATGCAGAAGAGTAATAGTTCCATAGTCTGATGAATTAAAAGTATGTTTCTCCTCTCTTTGTCCTGCAGAACTACCTCACCCTCCTGGACGATGAAGACCACACACTGGAAAGCCTGAAGATTTATGACGAGCAGCAGCTAGTTATCGAAGGTTTGAATCACCTACCTGTTACAAATCCCACCAAAAACATATATTCAGACGCATAAAAGTGTTACAACAACACACAATCTTATTGATAAGTGGTCATTCTAAACAATGAGTGAATTGGTTTAATCTCTTCCTTTCCCTCCACAGTCAGGAACAAAGACATGAGCTGGCCTGAGGAAATGTCTTTCATTGCCAACAGTAGTAAGATGGACAGACACAAAGGTAAGCTGGAAAACACTGGAGGCAGTGGCGGCCGGCCCATAGGGGCGCTAGGGGCGCCGCCCCACCTCTTCCCACATACAAATTTTTTTTTTTTTTTAAATATTAAATTAAAAAATATATATTTCAAAAATATATATATTTTTAATTTTTAATGAACAAGGTAAATATCATACAATTGGTATCAGTAAAATGTATAATCTACAATAAAATCTTGTTTAAAATTGTGTTACGATGTCTAAAGTTACTGATAAGTCACATGTTTCCTGCCTGGCCTTGCCCTTAGCATTAGTTTATCATTACGGGGCGCTGCCCCCGAGCCAAACAGCAGCAACCAGCACGTTGCAAAAGTCTCAATAGTAAACTCTGCCGCCGAAACATAATTTCAGCCAATCAGCGCCGTCAAATATTTTGGTCACGAGGGCGCTCACGTTGGCGCCCACGTTGCTTACGTGCGTTGACGTGAGTTGTTTTTTAGACTCGTGAGGAACTGGGGTAGTATCTATAGTAACGCAGTGTAGGCGGAGCCGTGACGTCATCTTCAATGAGCTCCCCAGAAAAACAACACAGCTGTTAGCTCTTAGCACTCAGAGCTCACAGCTCTTCATATCTGTTCAGAAACTAGACAAAAGTTAAACAAGTACAAACCACATACTGTCTGTGTCATGGCGAATACAGTCGCTGGTTTATTTATGTCTGTATAGGCCGTTGTTGTGAGTGTGGACGGTCGGAGTATTTACAACGTTAGCTTAGCCAAATCTCCATTAGAAAACATGCATTTTAAAAGGTTTTTCGCCTGCCGTCTGTCTGCAGACATGTCAAAGCCTTAATTCATGGTTTTTACTATCCGGTATCAGTATGTTGTAACTTCGGCATCATTTTGAAACGTCTATTACAATTAAATCACGGTCAAATATGTTCATCTTGTTGTAGTTGTAGCCCCCTTGACAGCGATTCTCTCTCTAGTTTAGACTGCGGTCAAGCCAGCCTCCACTCGGAAAAACCTAGTCAAGCCAGCCCTCACGTGATATTGCGGTGCGCGAATATCCTATGCATTACGGTAGAGTCAAAAAAGATCCTCCCTCTGTGTTTAGATGAGAATAAAACAAAAACTGTCTAGTATCAAAGACTCATTTCACTTCAGGGTGATAGCAGGACATCCCATCTAGTCACTCAGAAAAAAATCAGGACATTCTGATGTAGAGTTTCAAAATAAAAGACATCACCAGAAGTCCCAATTTAAGGGGTGATTTCTCCCCCAAAAAATTGTTTTACTCACTATATCAACAGCCCCACCAAAAATATTTTCCACCAGCCGCCACTGCTGGAGGAGCTTATTGTGCTTTTGTAAATGAGAAATTGTTAGTTTTGTCAAATATTGACCTGCTATGAATGGTGGATATGAACTGTAGTGCAGACTCTGCAAAATACATATGAAGGGAAATCTTTCCATCCTCACAAACCTACTCTTTGTATGATATAGTTGGAGGCAAGTTGGGTGACCAAGTGTCCCTTTTTGTGCTGGACTGCATAGCATTTTAATCATTTGTTCCACAAATTGAGCTAATGTTTCGCATTTGATTGACAGTCGCCATTCTTAATCTTGGTTTTTATCCAAAGCCATTCCTCCTGAAACCCAAAAAAGGATTACTAAACAGATAATGCAAGAGCCGCTAAAATAACAAACTCGCCATCATACAGGTCAGCAGTCTGTGGAAGAAAGCTACCTCCCTTCATTTATCCAGAATCAAAGATCGCTAAAAAAGTATGCGTACGATTGTTGGTTGGAAAAATAATCCATTCAAACCAAATATATTTAATTCCTTTAACTGCATGGTTTGGGCAAACAATAAACCATTGTTATTAGTATTTAACGTAGTTAGTTTTAATATTAATGTTTACCTTTAAGGGTTACATAGACATCATATTTAAGTCTATCCATCTCTTAGTGTTGCAGAAACATATCCCACACAAACACACTCGTTGTCTCACATGTGCCAACATAGTATATAACAATATTGTCTCTGATTCCCTCTAGCAACAATTATAACTTTATAGTATGAGGTCAGTATAGAAAGCTTGTCTTTGTTTCCCCTCCCAGTTCCCACAGAGAAAGGAGCCACAGGCCTCAGTAACCTTGGCAACACCTGCTTCATGAACTCCAGTATCCAGTGTGTGAGCAACACCAAGCCTCTGACAGACTACTTCATCTCAGGGAGACACCTCTATGAGCTCAACAGGTAGGTAGCACTCTGGTCTGAATGTTCCCATCATGATCCTGAACCTATCACCCTAAATGGCCCGTGTTGGTGCGTTTACAGAACCAACCCCATCGGGATGCGAGGTCACATGGCCAAGTGCTACGGTGACCTGGTGATGGAGCTGTGGAGCGGAACTCAGAAGAACATCGCTCCGCTCAAACTCAGGGTAAGAAGCTTCACCACTGCTCTGAAAACATGACATTTGAAAGGCTTGTGGGTCCACAATGAAGACTAAGAGATAAGGTGTAAGAACAAGAAACTAAACAAGGGTGAAAGTAGATACAGTGGGGCAAGTAAATACTACTTAGATTTAAACAAAGATTATTACTGTGATTGATGCGATCACATTTTTTTATTGATTAACAGAACCGGCCGACCAAAGAGAAACCTGGTGGTGCAACAATCAAACGTAGTGAATGTTCT